TTATCACTTGAAAAGATGTGACCCCTTTACAAATACAATATAAGAGGTAGCTCTGAGATAAAGCCTAAACAAGAAAGCTAAAAAGCAAAATTTAAATAAAGAAAAAACTTCAGTGATTTTTTTTTGTGTGATCTGGGTACGAGAAAGAATTTTTTAAATTAAAATCTACAGCATAAATGATCAAACAGAATGGATTTAATTACATCAAAGCTAGAATTTTTACAATGAAGGATACTACATACAACTTTTTTATATAGATGATAAAATGGGGTAATAAATTTGTAGTGTTTATATCCAATGAGGAATATTAAAATTTATAACAATTAAAACATAAAATAAAAAGCCTAAGAAATCCTGGAAACCCAAGGGTGATAGAACCCTGATTAGAAAGATAAACAAAATATGTGTAAAAAGGCATCCAAAAGATGAAAGTATACTTTAACAGATCTCAAACTGGTAGAGATCATATAATGCAAACACAAGTAACAAGAAGGCTGCATCTGCCAACAGCTGTCATTTGTCACAGGCCTGGGCTCTTCCAGATGCTAACAAGAACTGTTATTGGTCACAGTCAAGGAAAAAAAAAACCTGAAAAAGGAGATTAGATTCAGGGACCTCTTTCTGAAGGGTAAAGGGGAGATATAGAATGATAGGATAACAGGGTAGATTCTTGAGTCTACTTTTGAACAACCACTAATCTCACATATTTTACATTGATATGGATGTTTTTATTTGATACATATTTAAGGTTATTTTTGTTATAGGGTATACATGTTTCTATTTCTGTTTAAGTTATTGTGTCTATGCAGCTCATTTAAAAATATAATGCAAAGTTCTAGTCCTTGAAAATTATTTAGGATAAATACAGGTTAGTAGTTAGTCATCTATAATAATCACACTTATAGTCATAATAAGTATGTTTTCAAGGTGAAACAGAGACATATTTTAAATAGATAAATGGTCTCCAAATACTTCAAAGACTTACAGAATATGGTATTTGAAATGTTCTAATAACATAAGGCTTTCATGACAATGAGACACATCTGTTCCTAGCAGCACCAGTTTACTTCAAAAACAGGATAATGGGCATCCATGAACCTCCTTATAGATTTTGCTTTCATTATGGCAAAGTTAGCCACTGGGTAAAAAAACTGCCTTTGCCTCAACTGCTGAAAGTATGTTGTCCAAATTAGATAAGTAGGGCACAAAAGAAGGCAATTGCTGAATTTTGCCAAGACAAGGTAAGACAGTCCTTTGAAATTCCTGCTTTTTCAGAGAAAAGTCTGTCAAGACATTCTAGGCATGTAGGCTGAAAAGGAACCTTAGAGTGACCGTTCATGAAGCCAGACATCTCTGTCATTTCTTAGTTTTGGAAGTTGCTTGCTCTGCACTTCCTGTTCAATCAGGTAATATTATATCCTTCTTGGGTCTCTGATGGAGATAAAGATCAGATAGTTATAGTTACAGTTTTTCTTGTTATCAAATTCAAAAAAGAAACTCACAAAAGAGGCATAAAGTGTATAAGGTTGAGAGACATAAAAGCTTAAGTTGTTTAAGAAAATGTTTTGAGGTCTAAAGAGATAATTTTAGGATGGTAATACACAGGAGAATGGAGGTTTTTATAGCAGAGCTGCTTGTAAATACAAAACACCAGATAGGTACTCCACTGTTCTTCACTAGAGTATGGATGGTATATTTCCAGAACTGGCCAGAGGTGAGGAACAAAACTCTTTTTACTGAAATGGATGGATTTCAGAAACCAAATATTGAGTGACAAAGCAACTCTAGAACATACATAACTATATTTGTTATCAATGCAAATCTGTAAAAACAAACATAAATAGCCCTGCTATTGTACACAAATGTATTCAGGCTAAAAAATGATAAATATGGGCCATTGAGATGGCTCATCAGGTAAAGGCACCCACAGCCAAGCCTGATGACCTGAGTTTGGTCCCTAGGATTCAAAAGGTGAAAGCCCTGCTCTCCACCCCACCCCCATTCCAGGAAAGCAGGAGGTCAAGAGAGGAGAAGCATGAAAGGTACTTCAGTGATACTCTGTGGCTGATAACAGCAGTTCATGTTAAAATCCTATGCAGGGATTTTCAAGTCTGACCTGAAGCAGTTACAGAGAATTCGCCTGCTGGGTTCACTGCAGAAAACTACCTTTGCACATCAAGCTTGGTGCCAGCAAATGCATTATGTTCTCTGCAGGAATAGGGAGTGGCAGGCAGTCTCAGGACCCAGCTGCCTGTGCATTTAGATCCTAATGGGTGTGGCTTTTTTCTTTTTAGTTTGATGCCTTGGGCAAGAGACTTGAAGCACTTCTGCAGAAGTTTCCTTTTGGAGGACTAAAGGGGATACCTTGAAGATACTCCCCTCTACCATGTCTTACTCCCTAGTCTGTTTGACCCCAAGATCCATACAACTGCTAGAGCCCACAGTGAGCAGAACCCCACTTTGGCTCTCTTCACCTGGTCCTGGATTCAGCACTGTTCTACAGATGAAAGAAGAGTGGGTATCCTCTACCATTTTAGAGTCTTGTTTATGCTCCTGAAGAGATATAGTTTTGTTCTTTCCTCTTGGTTTGCTTCTGTACTTGGCTGACTATGGGCAGCTCAGCTCTTCCACAGCTCAGCTGATCTGGTGGCAGTGACACATTTCTTAAGTTGGGTGATGTAATAAAGCTACTTTGAACTTCCTCCACAAAAAAGTCTTAGAAATTAAGTTTCATGGACATCCCATGAGAGCAAAAATAGGGCAAAAAGATAAGCATCTGCTTTAATGATGACCTAGGAATGGAAGAAGGCAAGCAGGAAAGTACAGAGCAGGGTAACAGCTAGGAGAGGGACTTTAACTCTGGTGTAAGAGTAGATGTGGAGGCAGGTCTCTGTAATCCCAGGCCTCAGGAGGCTGAGGCAGAAGGACCCCAAGTTCAAGGCCATCATGATCTACCAAAAAATATTCTGTTTCAAAAATAAAAGAAAATGCGTTGGGCAGGTAGAAAGAATATAAGAGGATGCTTTGAAGGTCATAAACTAAATTATGAATTTTTATCTTTTGGGGTATAAAATACTTTAATGATGGTTCTTCTTGGATTTTATTATCTCTTAGTTTGGGGCTTAAAACCTACTTATACTGAGTCCCCAGATAATGAACTTTTAGTTAATAATCACATCATACAGAAGTATATACTTATGTATGCCCTAAAGCTACTTTCTTTACTCAAAGCACAGTATATAGTTGGTGCTTAAAAATCCTTGCTTCAGGACTTTGAGAGCCCATCCCACATGGAAGGGTGCTCTCTCAGCCTGGACACATGGGGGAGGGTCTAGACCTGCCTAGGATGATATATGACAGACTTTGATAAACCTCCATGGAGGGCCTTACCCTCCCTGGGGAGCAGAGGGGGGATGACGTGGGGGGGGCTGGTGGGAGGTTGGGGGAAGGGGAGGTAGAGGGAGAAGGGATTGACATGTGAAGCAAGCATGCTTCTAATTTGAACTAATAAAAAAATCAAAAAATCCTCGCTTCAAATGTAAGTGAATTTGTGCACATTTTTTTTTTTTGCCTTTTTCATACACACTCTGCATGCATCTGCTTTGGTCTGTCAATGCCAGACTGATGTGGTTGAGATTATGTAGCTCTTCCTGGTCCCTAAAGAACATGGCTCCCGTATCTGGACTTTCCCTGATGACACTGTAAGTGGTAAATACAGGGCTGGGGGTAAAGTAACTGCTGTGAAATTATGAGGAACTAAAAGCCAGGTCCAGTAGTATGCATTTTTAGCTTCAGTGTTGTAGGAAGGGGTTAGATAGATCCCAGGGGTTCACTGGCAAGACAGAACTCACCCAAAACAGTGAGTTCAAGGCTCACTGAGAGACCCTGGCTGACAAAAAGCTAGAGAGAGATAGAGGTAGACACTTGACATCGACTTCCACCTGCATATAAGCATGGGTGAGTGCATTTGCATGCACAGGTGCACACACATGCATACCCTCCACACTCAAACAAACATACTAAATAACAAAACTCAATGGTAGTTCATGTTTCAACAAATAACAGCTCTATAAAATACGAAATTATATTTCATGGCCACACTGTAACACATCTCAAAACTGACGTAGAGTTCAGAGATTGCTTTGCATTTAGTCCCATTAACTATAAATTTATACTGTGCTTTCTGTCACACTAGCTTATTTAATCTTTACCATATCCCTATCAATTAGGTACAATAGATCAAACTATTCTAACTTTACAGATCCAAAAAGAAGCAAAAAGTGGTTTACTTGGCATTCCTGAAGTCATGTTATTTAGACCTGAACCCAGAAACTGGTATTCCCAGAGTACAGTGCCTTTCTGTGAAACTCTATGCATACAGCTGTGTCCCTTTTTATTTTTCCTAAAGGTGCAATCGAAAGATATGAAAACTAGATAAATATAGTGTATGTTAATAAGTGATCTTAATAATTAATCTTCTTCTAGTATGCTATACTTTTACTAAACACAGCTTTTGTCAAATTAGTTACTTGTTGAAAAGTCCATTTGTTCTCAATTAAATGTATTTTAACAGATAGGTAAAACATAAAAATTATACATATTAATGGATACCATGTTATATAGTATTCAAATCAAGTTAAACATATTTTCACTTCAAACATTTGTCATTCCTGTATGGTAAAAACATATAAAATTCCTCCTCATACATCCCTGAAATATCTAGAGCCTTGTTATCTATCTGCCTCATTGATCACCTTCCTCTATGCTATCCCCAGGCAAAGTCAATTCAATCATGTTGTCTCTCCAATTTACTTTTCCTATAAAATATTCCTTTTTTTCATTTGTACTTGTAGCTTTCAGCAAAGAGATTATCATCAAAGTGCTTGAAAGTGACCAGTGCAGACAGGGGGCTCAAGCAACATCTCTAGTTAGGAAGTGCTGTGAGACCCTGTGTGAACAGAGTCGATCAACTGCTTTTGTCGTTGGATTTGTTTCCTTACCTCCAAAAAGATGGAATCCTTTTTTGCAGCTTGGCAAGGGCCACTTGGCAGAGCTGGATTTCTGAAAGCTTTGTTTTATTTTCAAATATTCCTTGGTAAAGAAGGTCTTTGTGGCATTGTTCAGTTCTAGAGTAAAGGGAAAGAAAAACATCATTTTAAGCATTAATTTGAATAAAAGTCAAGAGTGTGATAAATTATCATAGATTTTGATAATAAATTCAGAACTTTTTGAGTCTGTAAATATAAAAATGTATTTTAAAATCTCCAGTATGTCACCCAGATTTCTGTTTGATGTGGCTTTGAAACTATGCTTACAGACAGAATGTGTGTTTACTGAGAAGCATTTGCAACAGGAGCCCACGCCAAGCACAGTGTGTTGTCAAGAGGACAGCAGACTCAAGGACAGAAGTAAACAGGTTTCGGGAAATAACCCAGTACCAAGTCAGTAATCGTATAGCCAGAGGGTGACAAGGGCTTAGGGGTGAGAGTGAAAAGAAAACCTGTTTCAGATCGTTCGACTTCATAATGTGTTTAACTCTTTGTAAGGATGTACTGCACATTTACAGCGTGTACTGCTGCAGATCAGAGCAACCTTTAAAATGTCAAAGTGCATCCTCAAGATTTCAGAAGCTTTGCTAATGAGTTAAAAAGGGAATATTTATTTGAAGTACCCACAGGCCAACCAAAGGTTACACATGGTCTTCCCTTCAAACAGCAGACAGTCTGAGAGTCACAGGGCCACACAAGGGCAGGCAGGCATTGCCAAAGCCTGACTTCTCCATGCAGAAGCTCTCCTTGGAGAGGTCAGGGCAGGGCTGCTAGCAATTGAGAGAAACAACCGGCTTCTTCATCAACCACCTGCTCTTACTTTCAACCCCAAATGAGTCCATGCAGCACCTGGCCCCTCTTTGGTTTCTTTACTACCTCTACCTCTGAGGCACAGCCTACTCCAATTGCATATTTTTACCTATTGTCTCTATTTTTACTTATCACTGCCTTAGGTTGATTCTCAAGAAAGTCAAAAGAAAAACTATTTCACAAGTTTACATTAGCCACTAAAGGAACAGTGTAAAAAAATAGATTAGATAAGTGAAGCTATGCATGAAGGTTGCAACTCCAGCTCCATTCCTGAATCTATACCTGTTGGCCAATAATTCAAGCACACCAGTTAGAAAGGGGGATTGTAGTCTGTATGCATATGTAAGTTGGGCTTGTTAAGGCTTCTGCACTCTTTTGTCCTTGTGTGTTTAAACACATCAATGCTTTTGGGGTGGATATCCTTATGCTGTTTTCTGCAGAAATGCACAGATACTTTTACTGAAGTCCACTCTGTCCACTACCAACGACAGCCTCTTTAGTCATAACAATGCTCTCCTGGCTAAGAGGAATCATCACCATCTCACACCCCTGTGCTATTCCCACTCCTGGAAAGGAGAACAGAGGCCATGGAATGACCTGGAACATCACCTTCCAGGGCTAATGATTTTAATTTGCATAATTTTCCAACAAATCAAGTATCTGGTAAGTCATATTGTGTTGGCCATTAGGGAAAAATCACACAACATTCTAAATGCCTTCATAAATAGACCAAGGTGATAAGGGAATGAAGATTTCATGTTAGAGACTATATAAACAAAGCAAAACCGGCTGTAATACAAGAATTCTTATTATTCCCCCCTCTTCCTCCTGGGAATATTGTAACCAAATTCTAAAATGGTCACTCAGTAAGCAGAGGCACTATCACACACTCTCTCCTGTTTTAAAACTTATTTGGAAATATAATTGAACTTTGGTAAAAAAACGAATTTAAGAAATGTAAAAGCCCGCCAGAAGCTTTTTCTGGGAGAAGATGTGAAAAGTGACATCAATAATGGTGCCTATATTCTTCTTCACCTGGGCTTTAGGGAACTCAATAGACAGTGTGCTTTCCAAAAATCAGTGTAGTGGAATACTCAGGTAACATACTGAGGCTAAACAAATGAAGAAAGTATGATTAGAGCAATTGTTTTAATTTGCAAGATACATGGCAACTGTCCCTGTACATGCTCCCGCATGCCTGCAGCATGCTCTTGTAAAACTGATACTTTGGGATGATTTTATTTGCTACACTTGATCAGAAAGACATGTGGACAAGAGGAGATCAGGAAACCATTACTGCAATTGTTGCTGGGTCAAATAAGAGCTGGGCTTAATGCTTTTTAACTGTAGGGCTCTCCATCAGCCACTGAGCTGCTTTTAATATCCACTTCCCACCTAATCTCTAGCAAAACAATTTGGTCTGTGACCTACTATGTGACTGGTACTTTGATGATATATTTAGGGATAGAGATTACTTGAATCTAATTCTGTCTAAAGAGCATTGTATTAGAACCATGCTTTCAAAATGCCTGGGTAGGTGTCAAAATCACTGAGACACTGCTAAAAAGGCATATTCATCTGGACTGTGTGGGGCAGCACTGATGCTTATGTGGGCTATGAGTCTGTTTTCTTTAACAAGCCCCTTGAATGTTTCTGATTCATAGGTAGAGGCGATTAGGCACTGGGAAAAATGACCTTAAAGCCTTTTTGGTTGTGATACTATTTAGATGTGCTAAGCCTTATCTTCTATAAACCTGAGTAGTACCCTTCCTTACCCAGGGAAGATATGCTCCTATAGATATACGTATTGTTCCATCTCAGTGGCATTTAGGCTTGAAAATTCAGGCATCAGCAACAAACAGAACATCCAACATTACAATTCTTAAAATAACCTGCAAGAAACACCAAGAACAAGTGGGAGGCAGGAGAGAGGTGACATACCATCTGTATCCCCTTCAGCTGCTACTACCTATTGGAGAGCAAATGCTTCTTTTGTTTTTAACAGAATTACATTTTATTTATTTACTGCATGTGTTTCAGAGGGCTGTGGTGGATTTATCTAAGTTATTCTAATATCAATGAAAACTTGAGATTCAGATACTGGGATTAAAACCTCATAGATCCAAAGAGCCGCAGAGGAAAGATCAGCTGGCCCTAACTCTCCACGCTTACCAGATTGAGAGGGCAGAGGACTTCTCTAAGCCCCTTCATATATCTTCCTGTGCCCCCACATCTGGGTCCTCCAACCTCCAAACCTCTATGGCTATTTCCAGTCAGCCAGTAGCTGACACATGACCTCTAATTCAAGGTAAAATTCATTAACAACCTCAGAGTGTCAATGCAAACAAATATCTCACAGCAGGGTTGCAGCCTGCCCTAGCTTGGGTGTGAGGGTTAGGAGTAGGTTCTCTTCTTCTGCTATGTGGGTCCTGGAGACTGAACTCAGTCATCCAGCTTGGTGATAAGTGCCTTTACCAGATGAACCATCTGGACAGCTCAGAGTAAGGGCTTCTCATTACAAAGTATACTAGAACTTGTTAGATACAATCAATACTCAGTACTATTGAATGTGCTAGAAAATATTAAAATCTGTAAGTCTTTCTGATGATATACTTAGTTAAATGTGGTGATAATAATAGTGGAAACTGTAGCATCTTTATGTGATGATTTCATTTAAAAAAAAAGTAATTACTCAGGGCTGGGGAGATAGCTCATCTGGTAACATACCTTCTATGTGTGGTGTGGATGAGAATGACTCCCATAAGCTCATATATTTGAGTACTTAGTCCCAAGTGGGTGGAATTGTTTGGGAAAGATTAGGAGGTGTGGTCTTGTTGGAGGAGGTTTGCCACTGGGGTTGACTATGAGGTTTCAAAAGCCCACACCATTCTCAGTTAGCTCTCTTGCTTCATGATTGTGGATCAAGATTTAAGCTCTTAGCTTTTGCTCCAGTGCCAGGCTGCTGCCTTGCTCCCTGCCATGATGATCGTAAGCTCCAAACAAATTCTTGTGTAAGTTGCCTTGGTCATAATTAAACTTGCTGCCAATAGCAGTGAAATGGTTGCATCTTAATGTGATGCTTCTGTAAAAGACAAAGTAATTACTAGGAGATGGAGAGGAGGCTCGGTAAAGTACTTGCCATGTAGGCATTAGTTCTTGAGCTCCATCCCCAGCATCCACGGAGGCTGGATGCAGGAGCACATGAGTATAAGCCCAGTACTAGAGAGGTACACACAGGTGCCAGGTGGATCCCTGGAGCTTGCTGGCCTGCCTGGCTGGCCAATCCGTGAACTCCAGGTTCAAGGAAAGACCCTGTCTCAAAAACAAAATCGACAGCAACTGAAGCCATGCAAAAATTAATCAATAGCTTACCCACGAACACAGGCACACATACACATACACACACCCACACACTTGAATAATAAATTTGACAGGTAAAATAAGGGAATTATCATTTCCTGGATATATTTGAGGGTTATATATAACCATAATTTACATCATTACAGGGCCATTACTATTGGGTTTCATTAACAATAAGGAAGGAACAACTACAAATGTAATAGAGTAATTTTGGAGTATAGATTATGTCAATATGGTGTCTGTTTTTGTTTGTTTGTTTGTTTGTTTTGGAAACAGGGTCTTACTATATAGACCTGTCTGGCCTGGAACTCTCTGTGTAGGCCAGGTTGGCCTCAAACTCACAAAGGTCTGCTACTTGCTGAGTGCTGGGATTAAATGCCTGTGCCATACAGCCAGCTTTTCAGTTTTATTTCAGCTTTTGACTTTATTTGGTAATTTTATATTTAAACACTTCGCTGTTGTTAAGCAAATGTTTGTTAAGCACATTTTCTAGCATCCTGCTAACTGTAGAAGTGAAATCTATGCAACTGTCATGGAGCCTGTATTCTACTGTATCAGGTAAAAAGACAATCTTAATGCTGTGAGCTAAGGGTTCTTCACAGGGTTAATCCAGGGTGGTGGCATGGAAGATTATAAATACAAGGCAGAGTCTATTAGACAGGCCCAGTAGTATTAGACTCTAACTTAAAATGCTGAAAGATATGTGGCCAGGTATCTCATTCAGATCATTAAATCCTTGCTAACCCATTTCTAACTTTTCTCATTATTACAAAACCCTTCCCCTCACAATTAATATCTTAGTCCTATATTGTTTGACACATGATTTTTAATTTTTTTCCCAGGAATACAAAGAATATCCAAGAGAAAGAGATGCATGTAAAAGTTGTGACAGTAATAGGCTACTTCTC